TCTACAGTTAGCCTCGCACAAATAAAAGTACACCTTATTTTGTTATAGAAATCGTAGAAAAAGTTTTAAAAAGCTACGAGAAAAATCTTATAGTTTATACAAATTTTTAATCCCATAAGCGCACGCTTAAATAATTTTTCAAAATAAGCACACAATATAAAGTATTATAAATATTTCCCAAGCACTTAAGCTTTCTCCGTATCGGTGCCATTAGGATTTCAATTTTCCCACTGTAACGGAGCGTAAGGAAAACAATCGCAAATCTACGGTGTCCTATTGCAAAAACCATCATTTCAAGCTGGAGACGTGTTATTGCACCTACGCGTTCTACTCGGACATAAGTTTTCGCCAGATAGCAATGACGACTACTTAAGAAGTCAGGTATAGAAGCCATGAGCAAACGTTGCAATTTAACGAGTTTGTCTACCGACGTGCTAAAGAAAGAACGAAGGAAAAAGCAACGTATTACATTTAATTATTGCATTGAGTGTAAAAAGATAATGTGGTCGATATAAGTAGGTCGAGACGGTATTCCAACAAAGTTTCTAAACAACAAAATTTCACCACAAATGCAATATTGTCTCTCCTTTGGCCACTCCAAGGCATTAAAACATACAAAACTAACAATGGATCATTTTCAACAATTTTCAACAATCGAAATCATACGTATTACAATATGCGTAAGAGAGTGACTAATTACGTCGTTGAATAAAATTCACTCAAATACGTTATATGGGTTTATAAATTTTATTAAATATTTAAAATAGTCGTAGAATATTGAAGAAGAAAAAACACACAATTACGTTAAAAACAATATAAATATAACTAATCTGCTCGTTTACGCTACGTACTTTTACCAAGTACAACTGTAAATGTAATTACTAATATTTAGTTAAGTTCATGTAAGTTCTATGATTAATGAATTGTGTAATTATTCCCGTATTATTCTTTATATATATATATATATATATATAGATAAGCATACATATTATATAACCTATTAAGAGCTATAAATATAAAAATTCAATACATTTCGAAATCACTTCTAAAGCTTAATCCCTATAATTCTTTATCGTATCAATGTATAATTTATATTTATATATCTACCTTTATCATATCAATACGAGGAATGATTAAGTTTGCGAATCGATTGTTTGATTAAACTGAAGCCGATATTGAACAAAAATTGATGTAAAAATTTTCTAATTAATCAGGGTAAAAAAATATTTCTTTAAAATACTCTCTAAAATACAAAATTTTTCAAGCTATGTAATTGAATATGATAAATATGATAAATACTATTGCTGTTAGACTGCTGCTTATTTATCAAGTAAATATTTTACCGAATTAATCGTAATATTAACCGATTAATTATTTAATTAATCTCATAGAGTATTTCAACATGTGTATATTTTATATTATTTTGCGTGACTACAATTTAATGCTATACAATTTGAGCAACTATTTTTTAAGGAATTTTTATAAGAATAAAGCCAATATAAAGTCCCGGGAATATAATTATAATTACGTGAGTTCTTTAACTTCTGTAAAGTGTTGTGTAAGCTCGACTTTTAATTAATTAAACTTTAATGAAGGGCTTTATTTGCTCGTGGATTACTTCATGCACATTTTTTATAGGCAGTCTAATTTGAGCGCAGTCGACATAAATCACAGTTCGCAGAAACTATCTTCTCGATTCTTGAACCGATACAGGCCAGCCCGACTCTTGATACACTGCCAACAAACTTTCGGTCGTTAAAACTTTGTCAAAGTGAAACATAGTTCATCAGTATCACTTTGATTGGCATCGTGCTATATAGTATTATGTACCTACCTGGGCACCGGCTGTGCAGCGAAAATCTCTGAATCAGCATTATGAACTGCACAAGGAAATCAGAAATTGTTCGATTGCCCTGAAATTGACTTTACGACACGCGTGTCTTCATTTTATATTTTATGTAAATTTTCATGCATTTATGCATGCATACATACATACATACATACGTACGCATACCTATATATATATATATATATATATATATATATATATGCGTGTGCGCGCGTGTGCGTGTGTACATATACTCATTAAAAGTTCCGACGTTACATATTTTTGTTTTGTGTTTAAAATGTTTTAAAATTTAAAATTTGTTGTGCGCTAAAATTAAAAATAATATAAAACTGTAATATTATTTTTTAGAAATTACGATTCAAAAAAAGAGCATTAATCAAACGATTCTAAATATTTGCCACGTGCACGTTAGTCTTGAAAAAGGCGAATTTCTAAACACTTGAACCAATTTCACGACATAGCGGCACTTGCTATACACATTCTAAATTTTTTTCGACTCCATCTGAGTCTTCATTCAATAATTTTATAGGCAAGATAAATTAAACAGAAAATTCTAAGAAAAAGTATTTCAAGTTTTTATTTATAATCGAATAATATTTTTCTCGTGTCAAGTTAACAATATACGACATTATACGTCGAAAGGAATCATTATTAAAAAAATATAAAAAAACACACACGCGCGCGCGCGCACACACATGAAAGCACACAATTTTAAAAGTAATAAATTTCTTACGAATGCGAATACGATTGTTTGAATACGGTTTATTTGTTTTAAAGAAGAAACATGAATTCGCATAAGTTAAATAAATGTTGTGTTAATTGAAATACATATTAAATACTAGCTTGAACCGAATTTTATTTATATGCTTCTAACTTGACTATTACTGTAAACATATTTCGATTGTCCACACATTAGTTAAATATTATCGGAATAATAAGCAAGACATTACTTTCATGATCAACATGGACTCAGATTTCATTTTCAATTAACATAGAATAATTTTATTCTTATTTAAAAACAAAAACAAATATAAAGAAATAAAAAAATTTCATTATTCTTACAGCAGTTATTGAGAACAATATTTCTCATCAAATGTACGAAAGCGAGCATTTTTTTTTTTTTTAATATAAAATTTCTAATATAAGAATCAATATCATTGTTTATGGGGAATATAATCTTAGCAGCTGTATGGAAACTAAATTGGAATTTTAATGAATCTTGCCGATTGTCATAATGGTATGTTGAAAGTTATATTTTTGAAAATATAATATTAATAGTATTTTGGTGATTATATATAACCTGTGGTGAAACTTTCCATTATGATTTCAGTCAAATGTAATTTCGTTTAAACATAATTTTTAATACAATTTTCACCATCAAATTTACGCCGTAATCATTATCGATAATGCATGGCTTACTTGCATATTTTAAGCAAACGCTAGTGCGAATTAACAATATTTCATTACCTCGTAATCTACATACTTGTTTCTGTCTTCTTTTTATAATTAATGTAATAATACCCTAATGAAGCGATGATCACTTACCCCTGCATTAATATATCAATCTATCGACTACTCGATTAACAATGAATTTTGAATATGACAGAAACATTACACAACTACGTAATGAAAGCGTAAAATTATTAATTGTTCTTTTTTGTTTAATTTAAGACTTAATTCGAGTACCTCGTATCATTAATCATTCTAGATAGATTGCAATTATCACAGAATATAATTCACTATTACGTTATTATATTCAGTAAAGTGTAATCTGATGACAAAATAAAATTTGTAATATTTGTTTATACGCATAATAGTATTGAGATATTAAGTTAATTGCATCGATACCGCACCGATAATGATACCGTATTTCAATAAATAAATAAATAAATAAATATATAAAAAAAAAAATATCATTCGATTAATGTAATGTAACAGAGCGATTCTGTCGCTATTACAATACATAAAAGAAACAATAAAATTCCTTAATATTCAAATGGCTCGGGACGATGGGAAAAATTTATATATAATATTGAAGATAAGAAATAATGAAAATAGTGATTTGGAAATTAATGACTCTGTAATTATAACTATATGCGACAGAATTTGAATATTAAAATTCATTTCAATATACCGAGTATGGTTGTTGCAATAAAAGAAGCGAAGAGGACGAATAAGAAATTGTAATAAGAAACGTGTCGCGAAAGGTTTCTTTGTCACAAAATCCGTCGCTATTCGGTTACCGTGACTGCGCATACCTACGAATTAACAAGCAGCTAAACAAACGAAAACAAGGGTGAAAACAAACGCTCAGGGCGCTTAGATTCCTTAAATCAAACTATTATTTGAATGTTAAGTAGAGGGAAGAAGGACGATGGCTTTAAGCACATCGCGAAGCGCCGGTAATCGTTTCATTGTGATTGACATCGAGTCTAATCCCCCCCTCCCCCATCCCCCCAACCACAACCCGAATCCCACCACCACATAATAAACCAACTGGATAATGATAAAAAATTATTAATCCTGAGAGTATCGGGTGACGAGGTGACGAGGTGTAAAGGAGCAGTGAGTCGTCTTGTGATCGCATATCGACTTTACTGCCTTTGCCAGCTCAGAATTCGGAAGGGCCGATCGATTCTCTTTACACGAATGGCAAATGGCGTTAGGCCGCCTCATTTCCAGTTTATTCGTCGCCAAGTATCAACGATCTCGGATTTCATAAGTTTATGACGGGACGCGAGATCTTCGTCGGCCAGCCGATTATGCTACTACGCCTAAACAATTGGACTCTGACCTCAACGATGTTTAGTGAAATAACATTCGTGAAAAAGTTACCCTCGTCTCATACACTGTTTAACCTTTATTTACGATCAACGGACCGCTGTTCTTCTTCTTTTGTTTTTATTTTCTTTCGCGGCTCGTTGACGACGATTGTCGGAGTCGGAAGGAGGGTGGGAGGGAGGGAGCGATCACGGCCACGAGTATTCAACATTATGGACAACCGGGACATTTGTCGGCTCTGCCCGTTTATTAGGTCTTGACTCGCGGAATGAATAGTACGTCTCGCGATGTTTTGCCCTTCGTTTCGCGCGTGGCCGGGGATTCCAGAAAATGTCCGTTACTCGCAACACATTGGGTTCGTTCCGCGAAGCCACCGCTGAAAGTAAACAGATGGGGTGAGTTAAGTATGCCCTGCTAATGATACATCAAGGACGGCAGACATAAATAAAGCCTGTGTATTCTTAGCTCTAACGTGAGTAAATGTAGTTGCTTTTTTGGCATTAACGATTCCTGGAGAAATTCGTGAATGTGAATTACCTTGTCACGATTCTCAGCTCGGCATTATCATTTTGCATCAGTCAAATTAATGTGTAAAATACGTATTGTTTATGCGCACGCACACGCAAAACTTCGACTTTATTAAATTGCTTAAATTGCAAACTACGATGTAGTAGAAAATCTGTAAAAAAAAAAAACAAAGAAAAAAAAAAAACGACACTTTCAATTATCGCTATGAATTAATGTGCTGTTAAGAATTAATAATTTCACAATATACATGAATGAATGAAAAAGTAAAAGAAAAAGAAAAAAAATAAGAAAAAAAAAATGAAATACATATAATTTAAAGTGATTCTCCAATTAAATTAGTCTTTAATTGTTGTCAGAATAGCCTAATCTTTCCAATTATCGCTTTTTTATCGGCGAACCAACAATATCAATTTGTCCGCATAAGTCGAGGTTGATTCCCCCGATGATTCCCGCCTGTATTTTCACTCCTAATCTTTAACTTTTACATGCTACATCCCGTTGCAAGTCAATTTCTGTTTATATTGCGTACATATGCGTTGTTCGTTCATCCATGTTTATTAGAAGAGTGGGAACGCGAGCGAGCTGGCGATCGAGAATCTATCTATGCGAATGCCATGTCTGCAAATTCACTTCTACTATAATCTTGATACACATCGTGATACGATCACGTGTCATGCAAATTTGCAATGCAAATAATTTATCGAAATTTTATGTTATTTTCAACTTTCGTTGAATTATTTCACAATATAATTTTGCTAATTTATTTACCTTATATATATATATATATATATTTGTATCCAGGAGTATAAAGAAATAAAAACATTATCTATAATTCAATTTACTTTCCTCAGCCGCAACTCGATACATATGTATTATCATAGTATTTATGGTACCCGCATAATCATTGTTATGTGCAAATATTCCATTATTTCAAACGAACTCTTACAAGTTATATCACTTTCTAAGGACGCTATAGACACTTGTAACGAATAGAATAAATTATAGTTTAATAACATTATTAGACGTGATTAATCTGTGATTAAGTCCTAATTTATCACCTTGTAATTTTCATCTACAAATCTTGGTGATATTCAATCAAGCTTGCCAATGCGCTCGATGCAAGTAAAAAAAATCGCGATTTCTATACCGTAATTATTACAACATGCTTTTACGTATCAGAGGGTAGAATCGGAATAATTTATATGTACTCGGTTATAATTTATATTTACTTTTTTAATATGCAGATTAAAAACTCACGCATTCGAATTTCAATTATTCATTATACGTTGTTAATAATTATATTAAAAAAAAAATAAAAAATATTGCAATTGATCAAAATACCCAAAACTTCTCAAACTTTAACCCCGTATGGTGACTAATGAAAAAAAAAATCGTGATAATCGTTTAAATATTGAATCTATTAGTAGCATTCCTTTGGAAACGATTGCCGTTAATATAACATCTTACGATAGTGCAATTGTCAATATATACGAGAGCGCAAATACAAAATAACTCAATTACTCAAACGTCAGTGGTACGTGTATAATATCGGCGAACGGAATCTCGGTAAGAATTACCCTACAGGCAAGAATGAAAAGTAAAATTACGACTTTAAGCAGATATACATCATAAAAATGTTCGGTAAAGCAATGTTAAACAAACGTTAGGAATTTACTTAACAGTGACTCATTACACGAATGACGCATAAAATTCATCGCAAAAAGATTAATAACTCGATTATACAATGACAATTCCCTCCGTCCAGTTAATAAAAAATGAAACAATGAGAGCGAACGAATAAGTGAGTGTGAAAGGAAAGAGAGGGTGAGGGAGTGGGAGAGGGAAATCGAGAGATCGAGATATATATATATATATATATATATATATATATATATAGAGAGAGAGAGAGAGAGAGAGAGAGAGAGACGAGAGACGAGAGACGAGAGACGAGAGACGAGAGACGAGAGACGAGAGACGAGAGACGAGAGACGAGAGACGAGAGACGAGAGACGAGAGACGAGAGACGAGAGACGAGAGACGAGAGACGAGAGACGAGAGACGAGAGACGAGAGACGAGAGACGAGAGACGAGAGACGAGAGACGAGAGACGAGAGACGAGAGACGAGAGACGAGAGACGAGAGACGAGAGACGAGAGACGAGAGACGAGAGACGAGAGACGAGAGACGAGAGACGAGAGACGAGAGACGAGAGACGAGAGACGAGAGACGAGAGACGAGAGACGAGAGACGAGAGACGAGAGACGAGAGACGAGAGACGAGAGACGAGAGACGAGAGACGAGAGACGAGAGACGAGAGACGAGAGACGAGAGACGAGAGACGAGAGACGAGAGACGAGAGACGAGAGACGAGAGACGAGAGACGAGAGACGAGAGACGAGAGACGAGAGACGAGAGACGAGAGACGAGAGACGAGAGACGAGAGACGAGAGACGAGAGACGAGAGACGAGAGACGAGAGACGAGAGACGAGAGACGAGAGACGAGAGAGACGAGAGACGAGCCTCATCGGGCTGTCATAACTAGTTCCACGGATTACACGGGTACAGTATTTCCACACTAATCACGATCAATTCATTATGCGGACACACATAATCCGAGATTACATTACTCCCGCGCGCGACAGTTCAATGACACAGCAAGTAATACAACACCTTTTCTATTACATCCGGCGTTTCCAGGAGACTCACCACCGTAAACTTGGAGTTGAAAATTCTATCAACTTTAATGCTCTCTTAATCTAAATCACAACAAGTAATTGTTATTTATATTACTAATAGAGTCGTATTTGACTTCATAATAAGGAATTTCCATTAAACCTGGAGGTACGTTTATGTTGAAGGGGACACTCGAAGATATCAACCTTTTATTTCTACTTCTACCAAGTCCCCAGGAATGTATAATTAATTTTTATGCCGAGAATTTCTATTTTAACATATAAATATGTGTATTAAACGTCATTGAATGTCCGATCGAGCTTTCTCAATAATGTGTTGCGCCATCGTTTGGTTATTCGTAGATTAATTGGCATTAAATTGATTCTATAAGAATCCCTTTATAGGAATATGACATTCTCAAAATATTTTTTGATACGAGCTAATGAAGCTCCATCGAAAGATTCTACAATTCTAGCGATATACAAAAGTTTTTTTGTAAAATATACCCCATGTAAGCACATTCTTTTACCGTAGCGTTTGTCCTTCGCAAAAATACTCGGATTTACATTTATTCTAAATATTCAAATGCCTTGTATCATTCGCACGAATACATATGTATTATTATCTTTGTAACCAACTGCCGGCTTTATAAATTAATACAATTATTATTACGACGCGATGGTGAATATTAGTTTGTTTTTTGTTATTGTTTTCTTTTCTTTTTTCTTCTTTTTCTTTTCTTTTTTTTTTCTTTTTTTTTTTTCCATCCAATTATACCGACTTACTTCTCTTATTTTTTTGTTTAGAAGTAAAAATAAAATCAATTACACATACGCTATACCAGCTGACAGCAATATTACCAACTGCACAATGCTCTAAAGAACATTTTACAACTATACGCACAATAACTCGTGATACCGGTCATTGTTTAAGTGCACAAGATAACCGGTGATGGCATTTGATTGGTACATTGGCGCGCTCTGAAGGAATCGTGCTTAACGTATAGAATATTCCAATAAATATAGCATTCCAATGTAACAATAGCGGCTATAAAATCATTATGCATATTCAAATTTTAAAAACCAATATATTTCTTAATGCAAATTTTAGATAGGATAGACAGACGTCCTGTGGATTTATTACATTGCCCGACTTTACAATCATTTTTATATACTAATTGACTCCCGCCGACATGTGTAAAGCTAAAAGCTTTTGCATCATTGTTTACGATTTCTTGCTTAAAACGATAGTTTTCAAAGTAATCTCACTGTATATAGCTACTTACCTCTGATAATTACCTCTGATGAAGAAATACATATGTCATTTATCATCGTGTTGCTTCAAGTCTTTGTTTAGATAGCCTTCATTGTTACCAAATACTACGTTTCCCAGACAACTACTCGATCCCGAAAATTTAAAAATATTATACAATTGTTTGTTAATTTACTTTCACATTAATAATGAAAATAATCTTCCTTTATTTTTCTTCTTCTTTTCTTTTAATTAATCATAATCGCGTTGGAGTAAACAGCAAATCCCTACGCACGTGTAGAGGACAATGCAAGAAATACAAATTTCTAACTGTAATTATACAATAGGATGGACATTCAAGATTATAAATATATAAGGAAGAGTATTATTAAGAAGACAGCGTAATAACCAACATGTAATGTTATCTCGGCGTTCGAAAAATACATAATATCTTTTACATATATATGTGTTCAATTTAAGTTTATGATTATCGGTCATTAATACGTATATTTATCTTTAAAAAAAAAATGTTTATATATATAACTAGTTTCGTGTCACAAACGATATAAAACAAATAGCTTTCCGGAAATAAAGTAAGGATTTTAAAAGGCAAAGGTATAACAATTGATAGTAGGCTCCGTAAATTCAACGGCTACTGTATCGCAAATAGTTTAAACAGTGGGTTTAACCTTTTTGTAAATATTTTTCTTTGAACCATAACGACGACAATAAGTCAAATTATTCATAAAAACGGACAGCTTTTAACAAAGCGATCTAGACTGCTGAATACAATTGCCCGTCTCAATCACTTTTCCCGATGTAAATTTCAATTATACATATATATATATATATATATATATATATATATATATATATATATATATATATATATATATCAACGTTAAAATCCACTCCTATATATTTCTCCAGAGAATGTCAATG